TAACCATTACACCATGGAACCCCTACACAGGGTTTCCTGTGTTCCATTTCTGACAGCTAGAGTTTTTACTTCCTGATTCTTTCATTATATTTAGAAACTTGTACCCCTATAATGGGAAAGTGATCTTGGTGTATCATTGCCTTTCTGCACTCACAGTTCCTCTGTTGTGAATTTGCTTGTTCAAAAAGCTGCAACATTTACAGACAGGATAGATATGCAGCAGTTTTGTATTTGGCTGCCTTTATATGTGTTGGACAAACCTGCATCACACTCATTTGAATGAATGTTTATCATCTGATATCAACTAACATGTAAGTGCCTTTTCCCCTTGACTCCTGTTAAAGTCAGGTCCCACTGAGATTTGAACTCGGATCCCTGGATTCAGAGTCCAGAGTGCTAACCATTACACCATGGAACCAACGCATACAGCTATTTGAGAGGCGTGGGTTCGAATCCCACTTCTGGCAATACACGTTGTTACCAACTGATGGCCACTAGAGGGCTGTCTGTCTGTCCCAATCAAATTATGTTTACAGAAAACATAATTAGGTTGATACACATTCCATTATGCATGTTTTGAATTTTCGTCTGGTGCCATACATTTAGTGGTTGGCTTTACATAAATAATGTAGTTGTGTATTGATGTATAAACTTCAGAATGCATTAAATTATTTTCATGCATTTATAAACTTTTAAACTTGTAAATACATGAAGTTTTTTCTTTCTTTATATAAAAAACAGGAATTTAAATGAACATAAACGACATTCAGGGTTCACCTTTTATCATATAAACGCTCAAATCTCCTCAAACTCCATTGTTTATGCTGGGAGTGACGTAGCTCCACCTGATTGGTCGCTCTCCTCCGGGGGGCTCGCCAGGTGAGAGGGCGCGTGGCCACTTAAACTGGAGGCGGGGCTTCTCAGCTGTCGGTGATTGAGCACGTGAAGGCGCAGAGGGAGCAGAGCTCTGCGGATCGTCGCTGCTCCACAGTTTGCTGCGCGTCGGACAGAAGTTTAAAAGTGTCTGTGAAGATGTTTGACTTGAAGAAGAGAAACAGTTTGACGCTGAAAGGCGGCAGAGAGTCGGAGGAGTTCAGGAGGGTTGCGGTCAGACGCAAAGTCCGAGGAGCTGTGGGGGACTGCGACGGCTCAGGTGAGGAGGGACACACCTTTACCTTCTGCTGTAGTCTCTGGTAGACATGTGTAAAGGTTGTTTTGTAGAATTAACTGCACAATATTGCAGACATGACTCTGAGCTGCTGTCAGCACTGGTCCTAGTAGAAATATTTCACTCTGGTGCAACAACAACGCATTTAAAACTGTGCATTGATGTTATTTTGTGCATGTAAAACACATTTTGCAGTATCACTTATATTCCACATATAGAAGAGTCTGTGCAATATCAGTAGAATCTGTACAATAATCAATAGATGCTGTGCAAAAATCAATCTGTGCAATATTAATAGAATCTCTGCAATAATCGATAGATGCTGTGCAAAAATCAATATAATCTGTGCAATATCAATGTGTGCAATATCAGCAAAATATGTGCAATATCAGTAGAATCTGTGAAATAGCGTTAGAATTTGGGAAATATTAATAGAATCTGTGCAGCATCAATAGAATGTATGCAATAATCAAAATAATTTGTGCAATAATCCATCGAATATGTGCAATAGTCAATATATGCTGCACAATAATTGATAGAATCTGTGCAATATCAATATAATTTGTGCAATAATCAATAGACTCTGTGCAATATCAGTGAGTGATTGAGTGCAGTCACATCATTAAACGCGTTATGACCTTACAGTAGTTGCATTATTTCTAAGCTGAACTGTTGTAACTCACTGTAAGAAAAGTCAATACACCTTTCAAATATTTTTTTTTTCTACACTTGTCTGATGACTACGAAGGTGTTCTGTTGGATTATTTCTCCTCTGATTAACTCCTGCAGACCGGCAGTGGTCAGCCAGTGTTTTGGTTTATCCGCAGACAGTCATAGTGCATCTATAGATGTCGTCCACTCAGCACCTGTTGCACACCTCCAGCTCTGTGCTTCACTGTCAGGACCCTGCATTCACTGTGGTTCACATCAAACATGCAGGATCTCATCTGAGCCAGAAAGAATGTGCTGCCGGTATTCATGAGGCTTTTTTTTTCATGCATCTGAGTAAAGATTCTTGCAACTTGCTCCGAACAGCAAGCAAGGGTGTTTATCGAGGACACTGCCTATAACAGTCGACATAATAAACTGTCACAGGAACTCTGGTTTCCATTGTTAACGCCTGTGCCAAGTCCGAAGCAGCGTCTGTTTGTCTTGCAGAGCTGGATTGTGAAAGCAGTCGACTGTCAACTTTAGGAGCAGCTCAGATTAGTGGTACTATTGTTCATTCTGTACTTCCTGATTACTGCTGCAACTGTGTCTGCTGGTTTGTGGTGGAGTTTCCTGTGTCCTCTCCCGTCTTTGTGAAGTCTCACAATCAGTGTCTTCTGGCAATTCTTTTCCACGTGGAGCCACCATGCAGACATACACATAGACAGAGCTCATATATGTGCAAAACTGAGACAGTTCTGTTGTTCAAAGCTCATTTTATAACCCACGTGTATGCAGTTACAGCAATTGGAAATCACAGTTTTACTCAGTTTTGTTGGTGATGAAAGGTTTGGGGCCTATGTTTTCAATATAGTCTTTACTAGAGAGTTTAAGTTTGCTTTCGTACAAGACACAATACTTAAAAATAATGCAGCTGATTAGAGATGACACTATAAAATCATTTAGTTTGCAGAGGGTCGTCCTCACTTCTTTTGTGTATTGTATATTCAACTGCATGGAGACTAAACTGGGCAGGAAGCTGTCTTGGACCCATAGTGGCTAAATTTTGGTAGCTGGTGTTTGAATGTTTTGACAAATGCTCAAAAATGTCTCAAAAATCTCGGTGTTGATTTTGGCTCTTTGGCTCAAGCTGCCCTGTAAGCCGGCGACCGGGGCAGCGGTTAAGAGCATTAACCCTCCGTGTTGTGCGTGGCTTACCGCCGCAAATGCTATTTTAGTTTCCTTGTCAGCTCGTGAACACAAAGCCCTTGTGCTGGTGTGAGCGTGTGCATGCATTATTTTTTTAGGAGCTTGTTGGATTACTGCAGTGAAATCTCTTCCCCCTGATTCAGCCTGGACTTTGACGCCTTGAGACCACCGTTTGTCAAACCCTCCAACACACACACAAAGCCTCACTGTTCGTCCACTGCAGCAGAACCGCGCGTTTAGAAGAACGTTTGCTCCGATTGTACCGTCAGACGCAGCGTGTACCATCAGTACTCTGATCTGTTTCATGCACATTGTTCTTTAGCTCGTTATGAGGTCGTTTAAACAAGTTTTCCTGCAAGACGGATGCTGAAACTTGGAGATAAATGCATCTCAAATCTTCAGTGTTGCATATAATCCCCATGTCATGCACACTGGATCCAGTTAGGAAAATACTTTGGAGGATAAGTGTAGTAAAACCCCAGCTGCTGATTATTTCTCAAGGCCAGTGGGGGGAGAAAAAAATCAATGCAGGAGATGTAAAGTAGTGGGAAATGTGCCAATGCTGGATGTAATGAAAACAAAACGAGGTAAATTCTTCCCTTTCAGAGCTCAGTATATTTAATTAGCCACTCTTAGCAACATGTATTCAGTTTATTAATTGTTTGATTCTGTTTTTTTTTGTGAGAAACATTTCCTACTTTCTGAGATATGTAATGTGATCCTTTAACCACCTTAAGCAGCTTACAAGACTCGAAAAACCAGTACGTGGGCTGATAATGTTTCAGCTTCAGGAATGCACATCATGCTTAAAAAAATGTTTCCGCCTGACACAAAAGAAAACTCTCACTGTTCTCATTTTTCCAAGACTAATCTGCAAGAGAAGTTTACTGGTTAACGAAGGTTTGCAAACTTAATTACCAAGACGGAGAGTTGCAGCTTCCACGCTGAGCGAGAAACGCCGAAAAGGAAGATTTGGTTGCAGAAAGAAACACTAATTGCATGCAAATATAACAAAAAACAACTATTCCAGATGCCTTTTCCTTTTTTTTTGCACCATATGAGAAAGATGTTTTTTTCTTATTTTTGATGCACTCGTCTGCTAAATCACAAAATGAATAATCTTTGCAAATCGAGTCCTTCAAGTCATTTGCTGAAATTTACAGCAGTTTTTTTTTCATATCCTAGAAAGACAAAATATCCTAATGTCAGTTTTTTCATTTGTGTTTTTGTTTTTTCACATAATTTGTGTTAGTTGTGGTCCTGCAAACAAGTATAACTGTTTGCTTTGGATGACACATGATTTTAGGTTTGGATTCTATTTCTTTTTTAACATTTTTGACTGTTTCTGAGGATCTGTTGATATTTGGCTAAACTTTTACACACTAAAACACCATATTGGGATCATATTTTGCCCATTTCTCTATAAATAATCTGCATCGGCGACTGTTTGACGGCTCTAGACAATCACACTCTCTTACCTGTTTGCTCCTCATGAAGCTACAACCAGGAGACAATTCGCATAACAGCTGGAAAGTGTGAGAAACCTGATAAAATATAACATATAAGCAGCTCTTAAGCTCACAAATTGACATGCTGTCTTGTTATTTTTCTAATAATTGTAAAAACAAGTTGTGCTTTTACATGTTTTTGTTCAGGAGCAGCACTTTCCGATTAAAAATGTAGAAATTAAATGAACACATTTCCCCCAAAATCGCAGACTTTTCCTCAGTGCTGTTTAAATGTCACCTTGAAGACACGACTCGTAACTCTGGAAAAGTTCAGACTGTGAGGAAATAAACAGAAGTGAGAAAGCAGAAGTAAAACACTGAGAAAGTCGGCTTTAGTTTCTTCCACATGACCGACCGATCCCCCCTCGAACAGCAGCGCCGCCGGGAGCGAGCAGGAAAGATTTCCTCTCTTGTACAAGTAGCGGATAATCTTGGATAATCTTGCATAAGTTTGCATGTAAAGTGCAGGTAAGAAAACAGCCGGTTACACAATTTGGAAAAGGGCACGTTGCTGTTGTGGGGTGGTAATTAGTCAGATTTTTAAAACGCTGTGACGAGCTTAATGGGAAGCTTTTGTGTTCTTGTGAGGATCCTTTTTAGAGAAAATCAGCATAAAAATGAGAGTAAATGTAGTTTTTTTGATTACAGCATCAAGGAAACAGTTTTCAGAGCTGATACTTGATCAGTTGGAGGTGAATTTAATTAAAACAAAGCACATGTAAGATGCAGTAGCAGTGATTTTGTGATCATATATTCATGTACGTCTGCAGATTATTATCCAGAAACAACCTGCAGCGTGCATGAGTGTAAAACATTACTGGTATGTCAATGAGGTCTTAAGGTTTTCTGTGTGTTTTTGTCGTTTAAAGCCGTAGAAAAGGAACAAGATCCTTTAAGAAATGTTTCATGTAGTTTCCAAGACGTCAGCAAAATCAGTTCTCCATAAAGCAGAGCAGTGAGCCAACAACGCCATGGCTTTTGGTGGAGCTCACTTTCTTTTACGAGGTTAAAAAAGGTCAATTTAACATTAATAAAGCACTTTATTTACCTTTTATTCATCATTGTTCCTATTAGTACGAATATATGTTATAAAAAAGCAAAAGTTCTGCCTGCTTTCAATACTACGTAGGCAAGAAAGTTTGGGTTTTTCTGGTTTTTGAGTTGAAATAAGATTTAACTAATCAATTAGTTGCCAACTAATAAATGAATTTACAGCTATTTTGGTAATTGATTAGTTGGTTTGAGTAACTATTTAAGAATTCTAACCTATTAAAAGTCTAAATTCTCTTGTTCCTGCTTCTTAAATGTGCATACTTTGTGGTTTCTTTCCTCCTCTTTGACTGAACATCTTTGGGTTGAGGACAAAACCAGACATTTGCGGACGCATTGTGGGGCTTTGGGGAAACACTGATTGACATTTTTCACACAAAAAAAGCAAAGAACTCATCGGTTAAATGACACTGAAAATATTTTCCAAGCTTTGATGATGATGCGAAGAGCAGAATGTCATGCTGTTGTCTTTAGTAAAGCCAATATATGATTATTTGTCCTTGTGCATTAATAACAGACCAATAATGGCGTCATTTTGAGTTTGATCCAATGTGAGAAATAGAAATGCGTGGGCAAACTATGTTTCTGGGGAGCTCTTGTTTTATTCAAAGTGTTATTGCTGCAAACAAATGATCTATGGATGAGATTTGAGGAAAAAATGAAGTGATTATCACCAAAAGTGGACATTTTTCAAGAAAATGCATTTAATGATTCTGCAAGATATTAAGATTTTTCTGCTTCTTGTGCAGCCAAGATATCCAAATATTCGAAATATTTCAGCCCTTGCAACAGATAAATCCTCAGTAAAGCACGTGAGATGTGTAATATAATCATCTTTGTCATGCAGAGTGTTGGTTGGTCTGTTAACTTCTTATTTCTTCTTCTTTTTGATTTGTTTCAGACCTGAGCGGTGGACTGTGCGGCTCGTACAGCTGTGCCCGAGCTCGTGCATCAGAGCTAAACTCTTATTTTGGTTCAGAGGAAGATAACAGGAAAAGCCCAGTAAAGGGATCCCCTTTAAAACCACAAGGTAGGCACAGATCAAGTTATCTGTGTGCATAAGTTATAAAAGCTACCTGTGCTCAGTGTTTGTTGCTTTGTCCCGTCAACCACACTCTGTCTCTGCAGTGCCTCCTAAACCAGCTCACCTCCAGAGCCCTCCGAGCGTCAGACAAGATCCAGTCGGCTCCACGAGAGCAGCGCTACCTCAGCAAATTAATGGCACAGAGCCGGACCAGAGTCCTAACAGAGGTCATGGAGTTCCTGTTCCTTGTTTCAGCCCTCCGCAGGGTTGTTTAGGCTCCTTAAGTCCAGTCAGAGGAGGAGGAAGCCACCTTCTGAATGGAGCCAGACAGGGGATTCCAAACCTCGCAAGCAGTCCGGTGCTAGGATCTCCGAGTCCGGGCAAGAGAGGCATCCAGAACTGCAGCCCGCTGAGGGAAGGAGGCCACAGCCCCGCGAAGCTGTCCCCCAGAAACCACAGCCCTCTGATGGGAAAGCTGAGGACGCCAAGCCCTGCTCAGGGGAAGATGAGCAGCTCCGGTCCTGCCAAGAGCTCCATGTCCTGGCTGAGCCTGCACAGAATCCCAAACAACAAGATGGACAGAGGGAAGTCTCTGAGTGTCCCGGATCTGGTTGTTTACATGGATGAGAGCAGGTAGGATTCTCAAGTTGGTCTGCATCATGCAGGTGTAGCTCGATGTATGAGGGTTGTTCCATCTCAAATCATCAGGGGTCTTCTGCTCGACCATCTCTGATTCGCTGGGAACATTTTTATCATAAACTATGCATATTCAGAATGGCATCTGTGGATTTTTTAGCTTTATATATAAGAACCTTCCAAGACAAATTTGGAAGAAAAAAAAGCCCATTGACCCACTTTCAGCACCTTTTTGTACACATTGAAATGTGAAGCTCTGTTTGAACAACAACATCTCAGGAACTCTTCAAGATAAAAGCCTGAAATTTTCACTGTTATTTCTCATCATGTCACTGATTCAGAATCTGAAATATTGTACAAGTACATCAAACAGTCTTTAAATATTTGGCGAGTGGAATAAATTGAATCTGTCATCATGAAAAGTTCAATTTTTGAACACATTAACAAAAAAAAATGTATAACGCAGAAGTCAATTAGTGATGTTTTCTGAACCATTTGTCGCTGCAAGTTACAATAACATGAAATAAATCACGTGGAACACTTTTTAATATGTCACAAAAGTTATTTAATTGAACTTTTAGTCAGTTATGAAGGTTAAAGTAAATGATTCTATGTGTTGTTGTTTTATTGTGACATGCAGCTACATATTGTTCAAGACTTTGCACGACTGCTTCAATTTTTTTCCAATATTTCAACTCACCTATAATTAGGGATTATTTGTCCAATATTGCAGATTATTTTTGGACTTTTATCTCTAATGATTCCTGTGATGTTGTTGTTAAAACAGCCTGAAATTTCAATGTGCCAAAAAAATGTACTGAAAGTGGGCTGACATTTAAAAAAAAATAAAAAAATGTTGTGAAGTATGTGATATATCATGCTCAAATTTAACAAATATCTTTTGTTATTAATGTCCTTATTTTGCTTTGAGATGGAGCTTCTGATCATCACTTGATTCCTGTTAATGATAAATACATTTCATTTTTTCCCCCCCTGCAGACTTCATTGTGATAAATCTGAACGTTCTCCTCTGAAGCCGATGCAGTCGCTCAACTGTAACGGACCTGCAGCAGCTCACCACAGACTGAATCACACCACAGATGAAGGACATCGAACGAGTCCTGACAGAGAAACTTCCACCGGACGAATAAACGACGGCGTGCAGAGGACAGACTGGATGGTGGTGAATGGAGTCGGTGACGAGATGGAAGTGGGGAGGACGCCCACCAGACACGGATCCAAGTATTCCTGCCAGTGGACTAAAGCCGGCACGGGAGATGGGAGGATTCAGGAGGAGTCAAGAGGTGACGGAAATGAGGAGGAGGAGGAGGAGGAGGAGGAAGGTGGAGAGGAGCTAAAAGACGAAGAGAGCACAGAGCAGAAACTGTACAAGATCGCCAACGAGCTGCTGCAGACGGAGAAGGCCTACGTGGCTCGACTCCACCTGCTCAACCAGGTGAGTGCGGCTTCCTTGTTCCTTCTTTTCTTTATACGGGTGTTTCCTTGTGTAGAAGTCAACTATGACGCCTCTCTGACCTCAGGTGTTCTGTTCGCGGCTAACGGAGGAAGCAGGTCGCGGCTCGTTTCCTCCAGAGGTGATAAGGAACATCTTCTCCAACATTTCCTCCATCTACTCCTTCCACAGCCAGTTCCTGCTGCCCGACCTGGAGAGCTGCATCCGCCACTGGTGGGTCGTTAAGACTTAATTTTAAAAGTCAGTTTAGTGTGAAAATTTTCAATTATGACATTTTTTGCAAAAGAAAAGAAAAGCAGTTTTTACAGCTGTTCATCAGGTCTAGGATCCTCTTCAAAATGGGCATGAATGACTAACCCAAGGCAAGTTGTCTTAATAAAATCACAAAGATGACTCCATCCATCAGAGCCAGAAACTGTAAAAACATGAAGAACCATCAGGGGAATTAAGACGGCCCTCGAGCTACTTATCTATGACGTGCCGTTCCTTCACAAAATAACCAAAGTTAAGCTCAAAATCAGGATATTTCATCAAATTTAAACTTTATTTCTTATTTAAAAATCTGCCAAAAATCAAACTGTTGGCAGCAAGTGGATTCTGGTAAACACAAAAAATTCTGCCTGACCGTGAAGCCATCAGTGAGTCAGCTGAGCCCAACAGTCCCGTGGCAAAAACCCAGAAACTTTCGGTTGAACTGCAGGCAGTGTTTCCACAGAGAGGAGAGGATTATGGAGACAAACTGAAAATGCAAAATAGTAAAATGATTCTACCAGTGGAGTTTGGAAAATGTTTTACATGTTAAACATAATTGAAGAAATTAAACTTTTGTTTTTTTCTCTTTTTTAATGTTTTATGGCTTTAAAACTGTATGATAGTTCCCTCTACTTCCAGTCATGGTTGTGTTGTTTCCATAGAGCTGCAGGACTTTATATTTCCAATCAATCATCTGTTTTGCTAAAGAACAGACTCATGTTTGTTTTTTTCTAAAATAAAAAGACTGCATGTCTAGCACGCCATCACAACACGGCAAACAAAATATTTCACGGTGTCTTTGTAGACCTCAGAATGTCATTCATTCAACTTCATTACCATCAACTTCATTACCATCAACTTCATTACCATCTCTTCTCTTAAAAAAGTTAAACTGTTAATGTGACATCAATGTAGAAGCTCTTCAATTCAACCTCAAAGTTTATTCTTTAACTTCATCGTAATTGTTTTGAAGCCGCTGTGGCGCAAAAAAAGAACATGTCTTCGCTCTCTGACACTCAAACCTTCCCGTTTCTACTGAATCCAGGTGTGAGCGCCCCGGTTTGGGTAAAGTCCTTCTGCAAAACGCACCTTTCTTGAGGATGTACGCCGACTACGTCCGGAACTTCGACCAGGCCGTGGAGCTGGTGAGAACCTGGACTGAACGTTCCTCCGCCTTCAGAAGCATCATCCAGGACATACAGGTAAGAAACACTCACAAGCGTATCCATTATTTAGTCCCGTCCACCTGCGTGATCCGATGGAGAGGTTTTGTTCTGTTTCAGAGCCAGGAGGTGTGCGGGAACCTCACCCTGCAGCACCACATGCTGGAGCCGGTCCAGAGGGTTCCACGGTACGAGATGCTGCTGAAGGATTATCTGAAGAAGCTGCCGGAGGATAATCCCGACTACGAGTTTGCTCACAGTGAGTTGTACCGTCTGGTGATCAGTTCATTATGTGCTGCTGTATCCATCATTAAGTCCCCATCTGTGTCTGAAAGGTCATTATGTCTATAATCTCTCCCCGCAGAATCCTTGGAGACTATTTCCATGGCAGCCACACACTCAAACAGCGCCATCCACAAAGCTGTACGTCATCATTGTTTACCTTCACTTGTGCCGAGTGACATTTCATCAGCCAGACACCACAATAATTACCAAAAGTGACGCTGATAATGTGGTTTTAATTGGCATTTTATCCCTTTTTGTTAACTGATGGATCAATTGTGGATTTGTTTCAGTGTTTTTCGATGTTTCTTTGGCTACAGGAGAGCTTGAAACGGCTGCTGGAGATCTATGAGATGGTTGGCGAGGAGGAGGTGGTCAACCCGACTAACGAGTTTCTCAGGGAAGGTCGTCTGCTCAAGCTAGCCGCCAGGAACACGTCGGCCATGGAGAGACACCTGTTCCTGGTCAGAACACTGATGTAGAAACAGATAGTTCTTTGTCTAGTTTCATTTCCTTTTACATTCCTGTCATAGAGTAACTGCACTTTTACAATCTTTACCGTGAAAACACTCTAAACTGTGAATTCCAGTTGATTGCACAAGCTTTGGATTGACGGTGCGCAACTTTTCTCCACAGTTCAACAACTTCCTGCTGTGCTGCTCTCCGAGGTTCAGCCTCGTCGGCCAGCGTTTCACCGTCCGATGCCGGATCGGAGTGGAGGGCATGCACGTGCAGCAGACCACCAATGAAGACCACCAGTACACCTTCCAGGTCTCTGGGAAGGAGAGGACTCTGGAGCTACAGGCCAGGTGGGTGTTCACGCCACATCACACCAGCTGAGCTGCATGAACGTGTACGTCTGGCAAGGTTTTAATGGTTCAAAATGGAGTTCAGTCAAATTTAGAACGGTAGTTAAGTTTAGTGAAGGTAGAGATTTGCAGCCACTCGAGCACTTACTTAAATAAAGACGTCTGGCACATGAATCCAATTACGCTACACGTTTTCATGCACATTTCTATTTTCTTACACCTTCTGGTAGTAAGTAAGAAATTTGGTGAACTATAAGTTTTGCAGAGGTTCACAAGGTGCAATCAAAATGTTCTGCAACTGTTCCTGTCGTGCACAAATGGAGTAATGCGCATAAAACTGGTGCAAATGGTAACTTTCAAGAGTCGGGATTCTGCATGAGGTCAGCATCAGGACCAATGCAAGCGGTTTTTGTGATCACTGAATGTGCACATTTCACCATCGAAGCAGCACCGTGTTGAAATCTGTGAGAGTTTCTGTTGATAGTTGGGTCTATAGCTGCAACCCAGAGAAGAAACGGCAGTCTTTGCAGGTTTCAAGACTGAAGAAGGCTTATCGAGTCAGGAGAGGATGGGAGGATGGAAGGATGGGAGGATGCTCGTTGTTTTCTTTACATTTGTAGGGTTGAGCGCCGTTAATTTGTCCCTGAGGTTCAAACTAAGTTCTTCTGTAACGTCCTGAGCCATCTAAGCATTATTATTCAGCACAAGTGACCTGAACTGTGGTATGTTAGCAGCTGGATGCTCCGTTATGTCAATGCATCTACTCACAGCATGTTGACAACGTTAGTATTTTGGCCGCACCAATTCAATCTGCATCTCCGCCTGCCTAACTCGCCAGATGTGGCATCCTCCAACTTCTTCCTCTTTTCCAGAATGAAATTCAAGTCAGAAGAGTTGCTGTTTTCACACAGAGGAGGAGATTTAGTGAGTTGTTGTGCTGAAATAAAACCGGACTTCCAGTGAGTGTTTTAAATGTGGCAGGAGCAGTGGGAGCAGAGTGACACCAAATATAAACCGAGTCAGATTTTGCATTTTATAGGTTCAGACCTTTCACTGTTTGCACCTTGTACTTGCTCGTTATCAAGTGCATTAATTGTTTTTGTAATTTTCTTGTTATAAAGTGCATTAATTGTTGTATTAGAGTACTCAACACACTGTGTCCTGTACTATTAAACTTCTTCTGCTTCACTACTTAAAATATAATCTCGTGTTTTTTCCCCCAAAGCTCTGAACAAGACCGAGACGAGTGGATAAAGGTACGATTTTCATTTATTTGCAGCACATTGTGTGTAATATGGAGCAGGGATTAGAATCAACTGTGTCAGCTGCTAAAGTGACTTTAATCTCCAGACGATCCAGGAAGCCATCGATGTGTTTCAGAGGAAACATGAAACCTTCAAACTGGCCTCCAAGGAGCTGAACGTGGGAGAACCGGTGAGTTGGATCGTATTTATTTTGGAGTATGGAGGCAAGAAGTAAGAATATGAAACATCCCAGATATGATATGCTTTTGCTTTACAGTCAGAAGAACTGGGCCGACGGGCTCCTCGCTGGATCCGAGACAACGAGGTGACCTTGTGCATGAACTGCCAGGAGCCTTTCAACGCCCTGACCAGGAGGAGACACCACTGCCGAGCATGCGGCTTTGTGAGTGATGCAGTCAAAACTTAAATTTAGCGGCGGACTTCCCAGAGGTGACGGTTTCTCTGCTCCCTCAGGTGGTGTGCTGGAGGTGTTCGGACAATAAAGTGGCTCTGGAGTACGACGGCAACAAGCTGAACAAAGTGTGCAAGACTTGTTTCTCCATCCTGACCGGCCAGCGAGGGGACAAGGTGGACGGAAAGAGAAGGAGAAGAACGCTAGAGGTGAACCAAAGTCCAGCAGTTTGTCGTATTAGAATCTAAAAATACCAACGTCTTGAGCATGTCTTGTGGTTTTTGTCCCAGTCTGATCCACCTCCAGGTTCCACTGACGGTGTGATGAGTGGGTTCCTGCAGTACGGCGACAGTCCCGTGATCCGGCAACGGGTTTGGTGCGTCCTCACCAGAACTGAGCCTTCAGTCCTCCACCTGTACGCGGAACCACAGGTACGGACTGGAAAAACTCAGACATGTGTGTTTTGTAAGCTTCAGATGTTAATTATTGTTGCCAACTGGTTTCTGCTTGGATTATTTTGGATTAATTGCATCTCTAAGGATACGCGTGTGATGTTGTCACACACTGATGTGTCTGGATCCTTCATCATGTGTTCACGTGGGGGAAAAAGGGGAAACAAGGCTAAAATTATGAAGAGCTGTTGTGCAATCAGGTGCTGAAACAGATTCTGCAATCGTTGTTTTTCGATGGATGAAGAAATAATAAGAAACCTGCCCACAGACGACTAGAATATCCTTGAACTCCAGGAAAAACAAAACCCTGCCTCAGCTGACATCATGACTCTGCTACGAAGCAGGATTCGAGGTTACTGGAGTCACTTCAGGTTTAGTTTTCAGGACTTTGACGGTGGTTCGCGTCTCGCTGAAGTACAGTAAAAAGTTAACAAAGTTCTGTTTGAGATGAAAGATCAACAGCTTTGAAAACACAACCTACTGAAAATGGACCACGGAGACCAAGGCAGGTTTTTTTTTAGCTATTTTATTGTTTTTCTGGGCCTTTTGTTTAGAAAGAAACTGATCAAGACACTAAAGCCTTCCAGCCTGATTGTGGAACGTATAAGTTTCGAATAGTGCTTTTATATTTGTTCTTTACTTGCTGCCTAAAACTTCCAACACCACCAACTAGAACTTCCAACATTTACAGAATCAGGAAATATCTACATTTTATCTTCTTTTTTTTTTTCACCTTTGGCGAGGTGTCTCAGTGGTTAGCACTGTTGCCTCACAGCTAGAAGGTCGCCGGCTCACGTCCCGGTGAGGACACCCGGGATCTTTCTGCGTGGAGTCTCCATGTTCTCCCCGTGCAGCGTGGGTTCTCTCCGGGTTCTCCGGCTTCCTCCCACGCAGTCCAAAAACATGTTGAGGTTAATTGGTGATTCTAAATTGTCAGTAGGTGTGAATGTGAGTATGCCTGGTTGTCTGTCTCTAAGTGTAGCCCTGTGATAGACTGGTTACCTGTCCAGGGTGTCCCCTGCCTTCACCCTGAGTCAGCTGGGATAGACTCCAGCCCCCCATGACCCTAGTGAGGATAAAGCGGTGTGTAGATGATGGATGGATGAATGGTGCACCTTTACTTCTTGCACCTCATGTTTCATGTACTGAACCTGTACATACTGTATTTTTTACATACTACTGCACCTTGTGTGTACTTTTTTGCAGTACTTTAAGTCATTAAACTTTGATATATGCTCAGCAATGTGCAGAGTTTATAGTTCTCAATGCACCAAGTGAGCTAAATCACTGTTTTCATAGATTACACTTGTGCATAATACTTTTTTACTATATGTTTATATTTGTTTTTGCACATTTCTTACTGTACTTGAAAGACAAAAACTGTTTGTGTGAATGCTCCAGTTCCATTTACGACATTAAAGTAATTTTATTCTTTTCTGCTGTAGAAGGGAACTTAGTGGGAAAGCAGATTTTGACAGACATGTCTTCAACCTTTCTTCCCTCCTGCGTTTCCAGGACGTGAAGCCTCTTCTCAGCGTTCCTCTGCCGGGCTGCAGCGTCGATTCTTCCCCCCAGGAGCTCCGGAGTCGACCCGGTTTCTGTCTGAACCAGAACAAGACCTCCCACGTTTTCTCCTGTGAAGACCCGGACCTCAGACAGAGCTGGCTGACTGCGCTTAAAGCCGCCGCTGCGACGTCGAACGGCATCGGTGGACCCGGATGTGGAGGCGTCCGCGGCGGCGAGGAAGTCAACAAGGAGAACGAGTCCTGAGTGCTGGAGGTACTGTGTGAATACAGACATGAACATTACAGCAGCAGACGAAACAAGCGCACCGACGCTCGATGGAGGAAATCCAGAGCGGAGTACGATGGACACTATTCAGACTGAGACCTCTGTTGAGTGGCTGTGCGCTTTATTCTGAAACGGTTTATATTAAAATGAATAAAGTAAAAGTGTTTTAACAGGAGTCCGACTTTCCCTTCAGCTGCAGAGATGTTTGCACCAGCAGGTTGTTTTACGAGTGAAGTTACTGTTATTTTCTTCCAGCGGACATCGAGGACGTTCCAGTGACACAAAGAGGCTCAGTGAGACACATTCAGCTGCTTATTTACACTCAGCAGGTAGCAAGTGAACACTAAAAATAAGTGTAGGGGAAAAAAAAGGAGAAACTCTGGCCTCCGTTTTTCTCCAAATATACCTCATGCACTTTGAAAAATGTGTTAAACCACTGAGAGACCAGACAGCGTTCACCAGGAAGTTGGACAAATGGATGAGCTGACAGGCTATCAGCAGTCAAGTCGTGGAAATCTGTGCAATGTGTGAAAGTTTCTGTTATTTTTTTAACAAATTCTGAATTGTTTTGGACAAATTTATGTTATTTGAGACACATTTTTAATAATTTTGGAGAAATTTAAAATCATTTTGTACAACTTTTGAGTCATTTTGGACCAATTTTCAATATTTTTGCGTTCTTCTGGACCTTTTTACGTGATTTAGGATGTTTTTTTTTGTTTGTTTTTTTGGTAATTTCTCAGAATGATTCAAAAATTGTTGAAATGACACAGAATTGGCCTAAATATGAAAAAAATATAAATAAAAATACAAATTTATCTGACAAAATGCACATGCATAGGGCATATGACAATGAAACTCTTGAACAAAATACCTAAATATTTATGTTACAACCCCACAGTGTCATTTATTATTATTATTTAAATGTGCCTTCTTAATGTAAATAGTAAGCAGCTAGAAGTGTCTTGTTCTTAAACCATTCTTAGAATATTAATGTGCACCAGTATAGTGATGTTTTGGGGGGGGGGATTTTAAAAAAAAATTGAAATTTTGTTCCCAAAATGATGATATTCATCCCTCCATCCACGAGCAGGATAATGTTCTTTAAAGACATTATAGGCAGTTTTTTCCCTCTATACCTAAATGATAATGTTGTGCAGCCAGACTGTTATATTCTGCAAAAAAGGCAAAACCAAACTAGTCAGAAACTAACTTTAGCATTGTGTTTTCAGACATTTTTTTAACAAAAAAGTGCTGCTAAACCAACCGTACACTTCTGATGCATCATGTAAGTAAACCAGAAACGTGTTTATAATGTTTATATTTCAGCTGATTCCAGTTATTTTGAAAAGGGGAGAGAAAAAAGTGAAGATGGGGTCATTGTTTATTGACTTTACAGCAATGTATTTCACAAACTAGCAACTAACTGTGAAGACACCACTCGACTCGGCACCGCCGTCGGCCCAGCTGCGATACTCTGCTACATGTGCTGCAGACGATGTTGCAAACAACAATGGAGCCGCTCTTGCTTGCTTTACATTTTTCTGTATCTGTCGAGCTCTAATCGGCTTCGTTTCTGTTGTGCAGAGACATTTGTTTGTGAGTTTCTCGTGAAGCGCTGCATCTTAAAACGACATCGTGAGCGAACTGAACGAAGCCACGTGAAGCCGCGGACTCGGCCGATAATTCATCACCGCGAGCCGCCGCTTTCCAATAACGACAATTTCACCTATGATACACGGTTATAAAAATAGCAGTTAGAGCCGGTTTAAGGTTCTTTCTTCATCCCTGACAAGCAAAAAAAAACTTCTTTTTTTTAAATCACTTATGCATCAACTATAACACACGACATGAAGATACCGTCCTGCTGGAGCTAAATTATCTTTATCTGCTGCTGGGATGTGCTTGAAAAATATCCAAAGCTTACACATTGTAGAGTTGTGCCTAAAACTGTTTATGTTCTGAGATGTTTTAGCTGCTAAAAAAAAGAAAATTAAGCTCATATCTACAAACACCTGAAGTTGTGAGTTCAGTCGACCTCTGTGTTGACGAGAAAATTAAACACTGCTCGGGTGGAAATCAACCGTTTTAACGAGCCTCTTCTCCTACATGATCCGTACAATCGCATAAAGACGGAATGAAGCGTCCTACATCCATGACTGGTAGCGTTAAATGCCGCTGTGACGGTTACAGCTTCGAAAGGCAGTTGGACCTGTTGGTACAGATGCGAGCGAGGAGGCCCCGGTCTTGAGGCTTCAACGGTTGGACGTTTGAATCCAGCACTTGAGACGAGGAGAGCAACAAGAATCGGACGCACGGGTACGTAAAAGAAACAAAAAGAAATCAGGATTATTTACAACAAGTCCACCTCTCTTTCTCTTTCATACAGCAAAAATTTCAGTCTGTGTTTTTGTTTTGCTGAAATCTCCGGATGTCTCGCTTCGTCTTCCAACAGATGCCCCTGATGCAGTCCGGTTCAGACAAATCCATCTTAATCAAGTTCATCTCTAGACCTGGCCACGAGAGCTGACCCGTCAGTTTGTGAAGGAGCAGAACCAAAGAAGCACACGGAGACACACGACGTAAAAAACAACTTTCGGAGGAGTCTCCCAGAAGTCAGTAGTGCAGCACTGGAGAGTTGGCTCAACCCCCTCCGACCGTTAAAACCAGCAGCGACGAAAGGCAAGGAGGCCTCTCAGCTGCAGCACAGTTGCTCGGACACCAGCAGGGTGTCGTAGCCGTAGATCTCCAGCAGGTGGAGCAGGAAGAGCCGGTCCCCGTGAGGATCCAGACCCATGGCCCTCACGCTCTCCTGGGTCACCGTGGGGTCGGTGCTGCCCGCCACCTCGCTCAGCGTCTGGAAGATCCGGTTGTTCTGCTCCAGGAAGAACCTTTGGAGAGTTCAGGTAGAGGAGAATCTGATGTTAGTCATTCATTCGAGTGGTATCATGGAGAAAAAAAGCACCGAGGATCAGCTTAAATCTGCCCTTTTGTGAGATGTAATAACTTCCAGGAGAAAGACGAGGGGGTTTTGTTCAGGTTCGATAACTTTTGGGTTTAGTTTAATCCGTCTGAACCCCACAAACTGGTTTGAAAGGCTTGTCATCTTCTAAAAATAAAATATTACCAGAATTACACCATTTATCAGAAACTTTTCAAAGAGCAAGATTTAAACTTTCTGACGCTTCTTGGACGACATATAATGTGTCAGTCAGAGAACGTCGCCAAATTGAAGCCTGAAATCTTCATATTTTATCAAAATTGTTTGTTTTTTTTTCTCTGCATGTCTCGTTTTAAAAAATCGCCAAAAATAAATAGTTAGCTATACCTGGCTTCTGTAAAAACCAAAAAATTCTGTGGTCTTCAGGGAAACAGCAAAGCCTTTACTGACTCAGCTGGAACCAACAGTCACGTAAGAAAAATTCAGGAACTTTTCACATCAGAGATCTCCAACTTTGGTCCTGGTGAGCTGCTGTCCTGCAGGTTTTAGATGTTTCTGTACTGCAACACACCTGACTCACATGAATGGATCATTAGACTTGGGTAGAACTTGACAACAAGCCGTTGGAGATCCATTAGTGTGAGTCAGGTGTGTTGCAGTACGGAAACATCTAAAACCTGCAGGACAGTAGCTCACGAGGACCGGAGTTGGAGATCTCTGGCGTACACAGAGCAGAGGGAAGGAGCATGAAAACAAAGGAGAAAGACGAGAGGAATTTGTTCAGGCTCGATAACTTTTGGGTTTAATTTAATCCTCTTAATGCCACAAACTGCCAAAACAAGCTTGTTATCTGAAAAAAAAAAATCACCAAAACTGCACCATATATCAGAGTCAGAAAGTGTAAAAACATAAAAGGAGTTTTAGCTCGTCAACAATTCTTGAATTCTCTGTCAGATAAATTAACCAAACCTGCACCTAAATCCTGATATTTCATAGAAACCGTTTGCTCTAAATAGATTCTGTAAAAAACTAAAAATTATTCACTCTCCTGCACAGCCGTGAAGCCATCAGTGGCTCTGCTGTCACCAACAGTCACGCATCAAAAATAGTTTTCGGCTGAACTGCAGGCAGTGTTTAGAAAAGCAGAGACGAGTATGAGAATTAATTAAAAATGCAAAATATCTGTAGCATGTAGAGCCACCAGATGTATTGGTAACACCTGTGGGGGCTTGGAAATGTTGTACATGTCGAGTCCAGGTTTTTTTAAAAGAAATTAAACTTTTAAAAATTAAGATTAATGCAGTTTTAATAGTCCTGCAAATTAGACATTTCTGACTTCCCTCTGTTTCCATAGAGCTGCAGGACTTTATATTGCTGAGAAAAATGAGGCAAAACCACCCAGAAACTGCTCCTCAGCTTCTCGGCTGTCACTGCCTGTTGATGAAGCGGCGCGGCGGTTCATCACTAGTTAGCATTTAACGGACTAATTAAATGAATCACTGTGTACTTACAGAATAAAGAGATCCTCTTCGCTGGACACACAGTCTCCATTCTCCTCCTGGGAGTACAGCAGCATCTGCCTACACAAACACACACACAAACACACACACACACACACTTGTTGTCTGTCTGTCGTTGTGAGGTTTGTGTGCAGGAGTGTAGACTGAATACATGGAGGCTCAGTGGTGCTCTGCTAATGCTGGGATCTCTTTACTGTGTTTGCTAATGAGCATTTAACATAAAGTCCAGCTGAAAAGTCATTTGTTTTGTGGATTAGAAACCAAATTCATGGGCAAAGTTTAGGTCTGACACCGTTAGTGTGGCTAAATATGACTTTATCTCTGACACATGCTGCTGTGATCCTAAATCTGCAGCAATCACCACTGAAAGAATCCAACTAGAGCAGATATTCGTTGGTTAAAACAAAAAATAAAGACAACAGGATGACTTGTGTTCTGGACTGAATCAGGGGGTTTCAAGGTCTGACAATGTAATTTTATGAGATGTGTTGATAACAGAAGATGTTTAAAGGCCCACAGCGCCAGATTTCCGTACCTCTGCTCTGTTAACTTGCGGTACTTGTCCCTGTCGGCGGTGCTGAGGCGGAGCAGAGGCTTCAGACCGTCTCTGTAGGTCTTTACATTCTGGTTATCTACATACACGTCGTACAGATCCTTCTTCTCCTCAAAGATCTTCTCGGTGGTACCTGAACACACACAGAGGGGCTGATTACTCCTGCACTGGACTGACTTTTCTGTTTTGTTTTAGACGTGTTTGGAGGATCCACCTACAGGCCACGTAGGAGAGCTCGTTCTCCAGAGCGCTGATGTCGGCCACGTTGACGTAGAAGAAGGGCCTGAACTCGGGCACGGCCACGCCGACCCCGGGGATGGAGATGTTGGCCAGGCAGCAGCAGCAGTACACTGAGAGGGAAGAGGGGGTGGAAATCAGATTTAAAAAAAAGAAAATAGATGCATGAGTGTGGGAGAAAGAGAGCGAGACGCAGCAGGTGATGTGTGGGACGATGCAGCTGGGAAAGAAACGCATTATACGGACTGAGACGTACGAGCCCCGGACTCCTGTAGTCAATCAGCAGAAGAGGTTTGTGAATAAGATTTAAATAGGGGCTTTGAAATTAAAGGAATAGTTCCACATTTTTGGGAAACACACAGAAGAGAGTCTATTTATTTAGCTAGCAGCCACAAAGCTAATGTGTTTCTGAAATATCTCATAAGCCCTTTTTAGACAGGAAGTGACGTCATTCTAGTCATTTAGACATACAGTCGTCCTCCAATGTGTTCGTCCCCTTCCATTAAAGAAAAGGCAAAATTCCCAATAGGCACTCAAATAACTAGAAACTGGAAAAAGTAATAATAAATAAAAATTTGCTAAATTATAATTTAGTGAAATAAGACATTGCTTTTGAATTGTGGTTGAAAAGAAAAATTTTTAAAAAAATGTGTCCCAGACAAATTAGAGCACTTTGCTGTCAACAGGTGCAGAAGTCTGATTGAGAGTTACATAAAACACTACTGCAGTGATTTTTTAAATTATTTTTTAAGATATTTCTGTTGAACCACCTTCTAAAGCAATGCCATGATTTTCTTTAAATTTTTATTTGTTATTACTTTTGTCAATTTCAACTTATTTCTGCTGATTTTTTCCTTCTTTAAATGGAGGGTATGAATAAATCTGAGGACGACTGTAGATCATCTTTTTGTTAATGGCTTCATTTGGACATAAATGTGAGATTAATCAATACACCAAGTGATGTATAAAACAATAACCCAATAAAAGCCTAAATCTAAGCTAATAGCAGCTTATCAAAGTATCCCAAAAACTAGCAGCTCAGTTTATTTCTGATTTCTTTAGCAGCCAAACTGAAAGCTCAGTCTGGGGAGCAAAATATTTAACCAACAATCTGTGACGCAGTGGAAGCTGCTGTTAAATCCTGATGGTTCTTGACTTCATATCAGGGAGGATTCATGATTATGACAAACTAATGAAGCTGATGCAGGTGTTTAATAAACTCTGAGGAAATAGTTCTAAACAGCTGGAACGTCAGACTACATTCATTATTGGTGAGAAACATTAGTCTAAGTTTAATGTAAGTTTAGTTTTCATCACAGTAAAGTTTAATTATTGCATCATATCTCACTTTATAGCCTCATAGATTAGAAACTGTCAAGCAAAATGAGTGAGAAAGTTGTGCTAAAGGACTCCCTGTGCTGCTTTTGGACTAATACTAGTGATAAATGAGGGGAAAGCCTTCACTAGGTTAGTTACCACAGCTCAAAGTGCTTGTGCAGTTTTGAAAGGTAAACAGAATTATTACTATGTCTGATTTAGAAAGACTGTCAGACTGTCACATGTCTCTCACCTCTGTAGCAGACGACGCCCACGGGTGGAGGAGAGAAGATGAGGATGCGTCTGCGGAGCAGAGCCAGTTTCCACAGCACCATGATCTGCTCGCCGAAGAACCGGATGAACTGGGACATGCAGCCGGCCGGGTGGGTGATCTGACACAGAGACGTGATGTGATGTTAGTGAGCAGAACCAGAGGAAGTAAAGACGGAGCTGGCATCGTCCTCCTATACAAGGTCTGTCCAACCTTCATCTCAGGGTGCATGCTGTGGTTGATGGCGGCTCCCCAGGCGTTGGCCGGACACGCAGTAACCACAGCGTCTCCACCGGGGGGCAGCAGCGCTCTCTTGTCCTCGTAGAAGGCCTCCAGGGGAGAGTAGTGGCCCGGAGACTGGAGCTGGAGCCTGAGGAGGGGTTGCAAAACGAACACCAAAGAGCTGTTCAAGGTAGAAATCCAAAACCAGAGTGCTGCGGCAAGCTGGACTTCTTGTATTAAACACATTTAAATATAAAACACTCGGTACAGATGATGCTCAGAGCAGCAGGTAAGCTCCACTGTGTGCAAAAGGAAATACTGTACATGCATGCACACCTTTATTTATCCCTAAAGAAATTATCAGAATAATAGTTAAACTCGTTGTTTAGAGAGCTGCTCTGACTTCCAACTGGACAAACACAAAGTGGAACACACGAGGTTAACGATCACTAATTAGTGCAGACGCAGTATTGTGCAACAAATAATCATCTGCAGCTCTTTGTTATTCAAATTAATTTGTCTGTGGCCTGGAAACCGTCGTTCGGTGGCGACACACTGCCACCGATGTGCAGTGGACCGGAAAGAGTTATTCTGCTAAATCCAGAACAGGAACCCAGACTGTCTTTATAGATTTTTTATTTTTCAGATTTAAACTGCGTGAATTATTCGGGCATCTTTTACACCAGGGTGAGATCTGATTGAGGCTTTGATAAATCTTTTATTAAGGCTGTAAAGTCCAAAAAAAACAAAAAGAAAGAAATTAATGCAAAACAGGAATTTTTTACAATCCGAAAAGACTTCTTTAAATCACACAAAAAAATAATAGAAAATAAAGAAAAAATAAATAAAAACAAAATATATATATAAACTAAAAATACTATAATTTATATAATTTATATTAAATATTCCATAATTAATTAAAATATATAAATATATAATATAATACAATATAATTAGTATCTTGTATTATACACATTATATTGTGTTATAATATATATACAATACAATATGTGTATATATACATAAATAAAATAAATGGTTTTAAAAATAGATTTACTACAGAAAATGTAGAACATCTGATATAATATTCAGCCAGACTGATAATCTGTGGACCTCTAACCCTGACATCTGTACTTAGAACAGAAACATACATCCTGACCTCGATACCTAACACCAGATTAATAAGTTTAACACAATAAGTTATTAACTTAGAAGTTATTTCATACATTTCACGGTTTAGTTTCATTCATGAGGCCTCGGCTGCTTTTAGAATTCAGACAGTCATGAATATATTCAGGTCCAGCACTGATAAACAGCATTAAACTCTGAGACCTTCAAGTGTTTCCCAGCAGGAATAAAAACTCTTAAATACTTGATTTTTTCCCCCCATTCGCTTGTTTGCTTAGTCAGATCAGACAATAAGGTATCACAGATTCAAATGAACTCTTTTTGTCCAACAAATCCTCAAAGATCTTTTTCATTTACGCAGACATGTGACACAGAAAAGCTCCTGACAAACTAAAAACCAGCAACTGTTTGACATTTTTGGCTGATAAATAATTCAAACGCATCGATTAACCCCGACCTGCCGCCGAGTCACGTTCCGTCAGTCAATTAATCAATCAGCGATAAAGCCCATCGCCGGGCCTTAAAGGGTGAATTCATCAAACTGTAATCACAGATTTGCATACGGAGCTGCGCACGGCGGCGGAAGGTCTGTGGGAGGAATGTGCATCTGTCTGAGCGTAAAGTTCAAGGTAGATTTCTGCAGAGGATTTCTAGTTGCTCTGGATACGGCGCCGGCTTTCACTGAATGATAAAGATTCATCACACTTAAGGGTTTTTTTTCTCCTCCTGTATTTTTAGGCTGTAATTATGCCGCGTTAGGGTGCCGTTCCATTCCCGTCTAAAGTTTCCCTCACAAGGAGAAAAGAGGAAGCATCCGTAAACTGCTGAGCGTCTTAATGACACACAAGCGAGGCCTTTATGTAGGGAAACAGAGGAGCGCCGTGGCAGTCAGCAGACGGGGAATCTGGAGCGAGCAACGTGGGGAATGATGAGTAAGAAGCATGACCGCTGCATGACTGGAGGCCAGCAGAGGCCAGAGTGTGGGAACCGAGGAGAAAGCCGGGGGAAAAGGAGAGAGCTGCGTTCAAAGGAGGAAGTGTGACACGGAGCGGGACGGAACAAATGTCCGTGGTGGGGAAAGAACACGGAGGCCGTCTGAAGGGAACACAGGAGGGAGGAAGGTGCTAATTTGAAGCCTCCTAATTAGTGCAACGCCACAAAGAAGTGCAGCTGATGTGACACAAGCCGACAGCTAAGATTAATGTTAGTCACCGATGATGAATGTCGTCGGATGTTTGCTGCTTCCGGCCGTTTAGAACTATTTCCTCTGGGTTTATTAAACACCTGCAGCGTCGGACAGCAGCAGGAGCTTCGTTAGGTTGTCACAGTTATAAATTATTTCCAATACTATGAAAATTTCTCAGTAGCTTTTCATTGTATTGCCATGAAGTTTTATGA